TTGGTATAAAATGGCAATTGTTTACCGACCACAAAAGTCTAAAGTACATATTCAATCAGCAAACTTCAAATATGAGACAACAACGAACCATGGAGCTGATCAAAGATTATGACTGTGAAATCCTGTATCATCCTAGAAAAGCCAATGTAGTTGTTGATGCACTTAGCAGGAAAGTTTATCGTAATAGTATGTGTTATACTATTACTCACACTACAGTGAAGTTCAATGTTCTTGATGAACTAGAGAAATGGAAAGAAGAGGCCTTAATTTCAAACCCCGGCCGTCGGCGGAAACACCGAGTATTGTAACGTCATTTTTCGTATCACAGTTATATAGCATACATTGAACAATACTTAAAGAACATACCTTTATTGATGATTGAAAGTTACATTATTGTTTTTCCTATTACATAATATCCGACTATGACATGTTTCTTAAAGAACATAAAGATACTAGCAAAACTTCTCTTGTTCGAATACATACCCGCTTTTCAAGTTCCTGAAAACACATGCATTTTAAAATACGTCAACATAAAGTTGTTCAGTCCACAGGTTTTGACTCCATAAAATAATACATTTTTACACATTCAAAAGTATAGTTTTGAAAGTATCATTTTGACTCTCCAGCATTAGGTATAATTGTATACTTATCAATTAAGTGTTAAACCAAAACATTTCTTAATCTTAAGGTATAAGTAGGGGGAAACTTATACTTAACATTAATACTTGTATATGACAAGGTATAATGTTTCTACAATTTGCTACCATGAGCCTGTAACCGCTGCTATGACATAATAGCTCTGATAGATCAATACACTCATGATTTACCATGAGAACAAATACACTCATGATTTAACATGAGAAACAACACCGTACGCTTCATCGACGCTGGAATAATAACAAATAAAATGATAGTTCATCACTTGTTTTTGGTTGACTGTAGCTAACAGTCACAAGTGGGGTGGTCAGCCCGTATACTGATTATACACGACTTCCTCACTCACACAGGATTAAAGGTTACAGTTCAGAGGATTTCCACTAAGATCCCCCAATCTTAGTTGATGAATACAATTACTCATGTAGACTTCGACGGCTTCCTATAGCTCTAACAACAAAAGCATTTTCATGTCTAAAACCTTAAGTTACTAGACTTTTCTTTTAAACATTACTCCTAATTTCATAATATTTAGGCAGTATAACAACTATATCTTGAAGTAAAAACCAGGTTTTATCTTGACCTAAAACCAATAATAACAACATATAATGTTTCTAGTTTTATCATGACATAAAACTAACAATAACAACATATCCAGTTTTATCTTGACATAAAACTAATAATAACAACATATAACATATCTAGTTTTATCTTGACATAAAACTATTAATTGCAACATAATACATAACTTAACATATAAAACTTCCGAATATAACTTCAGAACTATATCGCACACAAAATATATATAGAATCCTAAGTATAACTCAAGATCTACATTAATATACTACTATAACAATAACATGTTAACAACGTTACGATAGTTGTATATTTTCAGATACAAAATAACTATATCCTGGTTATTATAACTATCGATCTGGATACTAATATACTATCTTATAATAATAACATATATACAATGACTATCATGCGTTTTCCCCCGAAATATTAGAAAGTGGGACCAGGAAACTCACCTTAGTAGCGTGATTTTTATGATATCTAAGCGAAACAGTCAACGTGTAAGTTCGTTGGGGCTCGGGATGCAAGAGGGCTTCATCAAGTAAGAGAGGAAGAAGAGAAATGGTGTAAGGAAGTGAATGGGTCGATCTTGCTATTTATAGTAGGATTTTATGACACTCACGTCGTGAGTCTGCCTAATTCACTCCGTAGACTTGCCATTTGCGTCCCTAGCTTCGGAAGGTGGCCATGTGACTCCTCACATCGTGAGTGTCATAAAACTCACGTCGTGAATTGGATCTTATCCTCTGGCAGCTTCTAGATTCCGAATTATGACAAAATGTCGTGAACGTCATAAAACTCACGTCGTGAATTAGCTAGCTTAGGGTTTTTAAAAGCTAAATCTTCGAAATGCCATAACTTTTGCATATGAACTCCGTTTTTGACGTTCTTTATATGCACATGTAGCTATTTATGAGTAATACAACTCTATTTTAGACTTAAATAGCTAATTCTAAGTCTATTTTAAATTCCTCTTATTACAGAGATTTATAGTGTTCAGTTTATCATAACTTCTTCATGCGAAGTCAGATTCAGATGTTCTCTATATTTTTGGAATCATATGGATGTATACTTTGAGTTGTATCATAAAGGAAGTTCATATTTGTATTAGAATTTATCATGAACTACATAACATTCTTACCACATTACTAGGTTAACATAATCACATTCACTACTAGAAAAAAGCCCTTTAATGACGCGCAAACAATGACACGCGCTGATAGACGATACGCATTTGTGCGTGCCCTAAAAAATAATGTCAGTTTTGCAAAATATGAAGGATAGAGGGCACCGCATTTGTGCGTTCCCTAAAATTAGTGTCAGAACAGAAAAAAAGAAAATGCGGAGGGCACCTTTCATAAAACGTGTGACATCTAAGAGTGTCGCTTTATAATTTTTTAATGAAACACGCGTTTTAAGCGGGATTTCACCCGCCTATATTGGATCCCAAAAATTAAACCCCCCACCTCTTCCGATTAGCAAGAAAAAGCCCTAGGGCGTTGGTCTTCATAGCAACATCGCACCACCACCCAACCTCCGATCTCACACCGCCAACTGTCTCCGACCATCTTCTCCAACCATTTGGGAGAAGTTGTTTCCAAACGTTTCAACATTTCATTACGTCTGACCAGCTTCTAAACCAATTTTCCCTTCCATCTTACGAAGACATCCTATTTTTCTTCTTGAGCGATTCCCCCCTTCTCCTCTAATTACTTTCTCGGCTTCTCCCCTGACTTATAACAAGAAAACCCTAGTTCTTTCCTTTATCTCGCCTTCGCAAAATCAAGCGCATACAACCATCATTTATGAGAGTACGTCTGTCTTCTTCCTCTTACAATCGCTAAGCCCTAACACCAAAAATTGAAAGTCAATTGACCCTCCGTTCGAAGAAAAATGTAAGAATTTTCCTTTATTTATTCCATTCTGTTACTTTGACCTCATATTCTTCTGTTCTTCGTCTTTTTTCTTCCAAATTATCAACTTTAGCCCTATACTGTGTTTTCTTTAAATGGAGAACTATTCAATTTAGGGCTTGATTGCAATTTTATCCACGAAGCCCTTCTTCAGTAGTCATCTTTTTCATCTTTTTTTGAAGGACCAATGCCCTTCTTTAGTGATTTCAAGATCCATGTAAGTATCAATGTTGAATTCATCTTTTTCCGATTGCTTTTCCATCTCAGAATGCAAATAGGTTTGGAACTTTACATCATCTGTGATTTTAAGGGATGAACTTTCTTTTAAAGACCTTGCAAATTCCTTCTCGCTTTTTGATTTTCCACTTAGAACTAATACAACAGGTTGTTGGGACTCCATGTTTGCTATAAAAAAGCACGATCGAGTTAGTATACACATATCATAAACACTTGATTCTACAATCTTAGATGATAGTGATACTTAAATTGTAATACTTAAATTGGTGTGTTTCAGAATTTGTAGGTCCCACATGAAGGAACAATGTGTGATCTGTTAAGGTCGGATCCAGATGATAGATGCGGGTAGGGGTACTCTCCACATGGGGCTGGGTACACATTCGGACTAGACATCGCGTCTCACTTCAACTATACAAATGGGCTTACTCTCATCTCCAGAGCTCACCAGCTATTCATGGAGGGTTTCAACTGGTGTCATGTATATTTACTTAATTAGCCCTCCATCCCTCTATCCCTCTTTAATGATAATTATTAGGCTTATTAATAATTTTCTGATTGATATTAGGACAAGAATGTGGTGACAGTGTTCAGTGCACCAAACTACTATATGACAGTGTTAATATCAGTTTCCCTGTTCTTTTTTATACTTGATGCACCTTTGATGTATCAAGTTGCCTATGTTTTCCTTGTCATATCTGATTTTTGGAAGAGTATGAAACGAGGAATGGGCATGGTTATGTTCTTTATGCACAGTGCTTCTTACTTCAAAAAGAGATTTGGATCAGTATTGGTGGGAGTCGCAAGTCATGGGGCCCTAACAACATAGTTCTTCTTACTTCAAATATGGCTTTACATTATCAACAAACCAATTTTTACTCCTTCCTTTTCAAATATGGTTGTTCTTTTTAGTTATTTTAACAATATTTTGTGACCAATTATCATTTTTGAATGTCGACAGTATGACCTCATTAGCAAGCAGTGTTCTATTAAGCATTATCTTCTTCCGGATCAGGTTAAATTTTGATTGTTGTGTTTTTGTAGTTTAAATTTTTTGAAAACACCAGTGGTGGTAGCGATGATGGTAGTGGCACTTTCTTTTTGTTAATTTTTTTTTTTCAGAAAGATTACTTTAGCCATGACATGTGGAGTTCTTGGAATATAGATGTGGACCCAAATCTAGGTAAAACGTATTTTGTATAACTGGAAAGTTTTTTCTTTACAGATTAATCATCATCTAAAAATGAAAAAAAAATGAAAATTATAAGAAAAAGAATTATATCAATATTATTTATCTTCTATCTTCTATATTCTGTAAAAAATGAAAAAAAAATGTAATTCATATTTAATTTACACTTACTTTACAACTTTTGCTATTGTTTGGGCAAAACTTGAGCATAAAGGATTTCATTCCAACCATCAAGAACACCAGCTAAACACCAATAACCAATGGAATCATGGAATGGAAAAAGGAAGGAATGAAATAAAATGAGTTTTATATATTTTATGTAAATACAATTACTTACTTATGTACATAATTTTAATTAAAATTAACGAACCATTACATTACTTTCCAGATTCCATCATATACGAGACACCACCTAAATGAGGTCTTAGGTTCAAATGTTCGTGGACATTATGGTCTGCTTTGTTGGCACTGCTGCAGGGGTGGATAGCAATCTCCATGAAGAAGCTGACTTAGTTGTTGAACGTGGAAAACCGGTAAATGACCATAACACCCCTGATCTAACTTTTTTGGACATTGTTGTCCCTGGCGTGCCTGAATTTGATCGGAAACTTGGTGCACCTGCAAAAAGGTTCAGCCCACCATCAGCAGGGGATTTTTCGACCTTTTCTCATATACCTTTTAATACGGTTATGGTGCGTGTTTGTTTCGTTGTCAATTCCATTCCTCCTTTTTATTGAAAGACCGAAATACCCTTGTTATTACTTTAGATAAAAAAACAAATTCCATTTTGTTTTATCAGGATGGCTCCATTGGTGACCCTGTAGAAGAAGGTGTATATGTCAATACTAAGAAGAGAGCTTCCTAAGCTTCTAGCATTGTCTTCTGGAACTTTTAGCCATCAATCCTTGGAGAATATTGTAAGCCAACATCTCTCCTTCTATGCTTACTATCATGAACATTTAGTAGGTAAACATTTTGTCATGGCTTGTTAGTTTTTTTTTACCAAAATTAGACAAGGGTAAATTAGTCATTTTTCATAAATTTGATGACCGGACAAAAAGTGTTATAAATCATTGCATTAGGGACTTAAAATGAAAAAAAAAGATTCCTTTTGGACCGTATTCAAAGAACACAATATAGTACAGGAACCAAAAATATAAATTACTTGAGAAGTAGTATTTGATTGCTTGTGTTAATGCAGGTAATACAACTACGTAAAGCAGGTAGTCATCCTCACCTCTTTGCTGGTATAGAGCCAGAACCATATGAAGACGGTGAACACTTGGTTCAGGTATAAAAAATATATCATCTCTATTTATTTATAAAATCATACAAAATGTTAGTAATAAATTTGAAATCTTTATGATTACTTTCAGGCAAGTGGCAAACTGGTAGTCTTAGACCAGTTACTTCAGAAGCTACATACGTTTGGACACCGTGTTCTTCTGTTTGCACAGATGACACATACACTTGATGTCTTACAAGTTTACTTCCTTATCTTTTCATAAAAAAACTATCAGCTGTCAGCTGTGCTTATGTATATCCATCTGTTATTATTTAAACATAAACTTTTTTGGAAAATTTTGAAATACAGGACTATATGGAGTTGAGAAAATACCCTTATGATCGGCTTGATGGATCCATAAGAGCTGAAGAGTGGTTTGTTGCAATATGGAGTTTTAGCCGAAAGTCCGGAATTGGAAATTCCAATTCTGAAGCTGATTCCGACTCTGCATTTGTCTTCATGATTTCCAGCAGAGCAGGGGGTGATGGGCTGAATCTTGTAGCTGCTGATACTGTGAGCTTTGCAATACTAACATCTATGGAGCAGGGTGTTTAATTATGATCTTTGCAATACGGAGTTTTTCTAATTTTCACAAAATTAAAAATATTTTAAGCCGTTAATTAAGGACATCAAAATATTATGTCTAAGTGATGACCATACAAGGGGCCTGGGCAAATTTTTTTGGAACTTGAAGATATTATTACCAAAAAAAAACATAATGTGATTAGCTTGCAATGTATTGGAAAAAGCAATTGCATGTGCATGGCTTTGAGACAATTTCTTATTTGGGTATCACGTCTCCCACTTAGATTAAAAAAATTGTGGAACTTGGTTGTTGTTGTACCCATAAGCCGCGAAGGTATATGAATTTTATTTCCAGTTACTCAATGACGACTTGTTGTGTTTCAAAATAGATCTCACTATTATTACAGTATCACCCATTTGATGATACAGGTGACAAGGGAACGAGCATTGAGAAATTGGGTCTTTGATGAAACTGCTGGAAACATTTATAGGGAGTTTGGATCTGGCTATCCTGGAGGTGAAATAACTATTACTGCTTTTCATTATTAAAGTAATTCAACAGCCATGGAATGTGATCATACGAATTTTCCTACTATATCTATGTGATATTGTGATTATTTCATGAATTTACCTGTCCAAGTGTAAAAAGTTTGGGGTTTTGCTTCATTTTGTGTTTTCTAAGTAGATTTTTACACTATTGTTGGATGAAAATACCCCTGCTGTTTGTTTCCTCTATTCTTTATTCTTAAGATGTTTTTGGACAAACAATTTATTATGTTTTCTAAGCAGATTTCAAGAATGTAAAAAAATTTAGGTAATCAGAACTTATGATCTTCATTTGTCTCCTATGTGTTTACATTTTTGTCTAGAACTTAAACTTTTTCATTGTCAACTTTAGGTAATCAGTGTGCGTCCATTTATGACATTCACCAATAGACTTGGTCAAGATATATATTTGAAGCTAGGCAGCGAAGATGAACCGAGAATGTTGTGAGCATCTGATGTGTGAGTCTTCTTTGTTTACCATGAGACTGACCAACCTAGCAAGCTACAGGTGATTAGGGGTGCCTCGTGTGTGTGTGTGTCTTTCTTTCATTATACAATTTTTATCTATTTATTATAGTGATATTTTCCTTACATATTGTTTATCTAATAGATCCGTGATGAAGGCACAAAATGGTCATTTCCTGTTCAAATTGAGAAGGAAGACACCATATTTCTTGTTTTGAAGGAGGAAGATGGCACTCCGGAAATTTGAAGGACTGGAATTCGAGGTTATGAAGAGGGATCACGTTTCATTGTTGTACTCTGTCGTGGACCAAGATATGGCCCCATTAGGTACACACACATCATATAACTTTCTATATTTATCAAAATGAAGGATAATTCAAGAAGCCCACTTTTATTTATTTCCATGCTTCTGCCTTACTTGTGAAAAAATTGTGCTTCACAAGATTGAAAACAGAACAGTTGGAGAAGTTGTTAGAATTTGGCAGTCTGGTTTGAATAATTGAGTTCATAACAGTAATGAGGTTCTACCATTCAGTATTTCCTTATTCTCCTTTAACATTTTGTTTATTTATATCTTCAAACATATAGCTGTAAAAGAACTAACTTTAATAAGGAAATAAATTAATTGTTGAAGTTTTTGATTGATTAAGTGTCTTGATTGAAACCGGTTGTACATGTTTTGACAAGGAGTTGTTGTATCTATTCAGAGTAGGCTTAGAGCAATGGTTGCAAGAGATGAGTTCAGAAGAAGAAGAAACAAGGCTGCAACTAACTATAGTTCAGGTACTATGCATGAATTACGTTTGTAAAGTATTTCAGATAATGATTAGAAACAAGGGTGAATTTGTACACATTAGTTAGCCACTTGCAGGTTGATCTTGAATAAGCAAAGGGGCAATGGATTGTATTTTTTGTATCTAATTTGTTTGTACATTTTTGTTACAACTTCTATAGATTTGTTTTATCTTTCCATGGAACGATTATTTGTATGACATTAAATTTATGCAATTGATTCTATTTTTTGTATATGATATTTTATTTTATATTATGAAACATTAAATACAAATTTAATTTGAAAATAAGTAAATCTATAAATAATATTTTTTTAAACATTTTAAATTATGATACGCAAAAATGTGTGTCATCTTCATTTATGACATTGCCTTTCTTGACAGGGGCTTTCTTGATACACATTGCGTGTCATTAACACACACGTCGTAAGGTTACGACATGCGAATGCGTGTCGTCTTTCTTTATGACAGGGCCTTCCTTGATACGCATTGCGTGTCGTAAACGCGCGTCGTAATTGTGCGTCGTAAATGAGCGTCGTAAATGCGCGCCGTCTATAGACGACGTGCAAAAGCGTGTCGTCTCCCTTTATGACAGGGCCTTCCTTTACGCGCATTTGCGCGTCGTCTGAGCCTTTTACGACGCGCAATGAGCATCGTAAAAGGCTGTTTTTCTAGTAGTGATTACATGATTGGCATAATCACATATGATTGTCTATTGACCTATTTTGACTAGTGTTACATTCTCCCCCCCCCCCCCTAAGAACAATTTCATCCCGAAATTTATCTTGTCGTTTGGGTTTTATCAAATAGTTGTGGCTATTTTTCTTTCATCTGATCTTCACGTTCCCAAGTAAATTCAGGTCCTCGCAAAGAGTTCTATCGAACTTTCACTATGGGAATACGACTTTGCTTTAATCTTTTGACTTCTCGATCCATGATCTCGATAGGTTATTCTACAAAGTTGAGTTTCGTATTGACTTCTATCTCATTGAGAGGTACCACAAGAGTGTCATCGGATACACATATTTTGAGATTTGATACGTGAAAAACATCGTGTACATTACTTAGCTCTTGAGGCAACTTGAGTTTGTATGCGACAGAACCAATTCTAGCTAGAATTTCAAAAGGTCCTATATACCGTGGGTTTAGTTTGCCTTGCTTACCGAATCGAATTACACATTTCCATGTAGAGACCTTCAACATTACTTTATCTCCAACTTGGAATTCTAAAGGCTTACGTCTTACGTCAGCATAGCTCTTTTGACGATCACGTGCAGCCTTTAATCGATCCTTAATTTGCACAATCTTTTCAGTTGTCTCATGGATTATTTCTGGTCCAGTACGTAAGGTATCACCTATATGTTCTCTGGCCATCTACGTATCTCCAACTTCTACCCAACATACTGGGGAACGACATTTTCGTCCATTAAGAGCCTCAAACGGTGCAGCCTTGATGCTGGTGTGATGACTATTGTTGTAGGAAAACTCAATTAATGGTAAATGAGTATCCCACGCATTTCCAAAGTCTATTACACATGCTTAGAGCATATCTTCTAAAGTCTTAATGGTTCTCTCACTCTGACCATCAGTCTGTGGATGGTAAGTTGTACTCATATCTAGATGTGTTCCTAAGGATTTTTGTAGAGATTGCCAAAATCGTGAAGTGAATCCACTATCTCGGTCAGAAATAATATAACTTGGAACTCCATGCAATCTAACAATTTCCTTAAGATAAAATCTAGTCAGCTTCTCCATCTTGTCGTTCTCCTTAATTGGTAAGAAATGGGCAGACTTAGTGAATCTATCGACTATTACCCAAATAGTGTTGAACCCACCAGGAGTTTTGGGTAACTTAGTGATGAAGTCCATTAAAATCTGCTCCCATTTCCATTCTGGTATTTCCGGTTGTTGAACTAAACCTGAAGGCTTTTCATGTTCTGCCTTCACTCTAGAACACGTCAAACATTTGCTCACATAAATAGCAATTTCTGCCTTCATGTTTGGCCACCAATAATGTACTTTTAAATCCAAGTACATTTTGTCAGAGCCTGGATGCACGAAATATCTGAACTTGTGGGCTTCTTCTAAGACCAAGTCCTTGATTCCACCGAACTTAGGCATCCAAATTCGGTTCATAAAGTGTCGCGTTCCGTCATCTTTTTGTATAAGTTGCTTTTCCATTCCTCGCAAAGCTTTGTTCTTGATGTTTTCTTCTTTTAGAGCCTCAAGTTGAGCTTCTCTAATTTTTTCGGTAAAGTTAGAATGGATAGTTATAGTTAATGCTCATACCCATCGGGGTTTAATATATTATTTCCGGCTCAAGGCATCTGCAACCACGTTTTCCTTTCCGGGATGATAACGAATCTCACATTCATAATCATTTAACAATTCGACCCCTCTTCGTTGTCTCATATTAAGATCTTTTTGGTCGAAGATGTGCTGGAGACTTTTGTGGTCGGTAAAAATAGTACACTTAGTACCGTATAGGTAATGTCTCCAGATTTTAGTGTAAAAACTACAGCTCCCAATTCAAGATCATGGGTAGTGTAATTATTCTCATGCACCTTAAGTTGTCATGATGAATAGGCGATAACTTTTCCTCTTTGCATCAACACACATCCCAATCCTTGATTTGAAGCATCGCAGTATACAACGAAATCTCCTGTCCCCTCTGGAAGGGATAGGATTGGTGCACTACACAACATTTGCTTTAGTTTCTGAAAAGCAGCTTCATGTTTGTCTTCCCAGTTGAACTTCGTATCCTTCTGGGTTAGTGTTGTAAGCGGCTTGGCTATTTTGGAGAAATTCTCTATGAATCTGCGGTAATATCCAGCAAGTCCGAGGAATTGACGTACCTCTGTTGGCGTCTTTGGTGCTTCCCAATTCCTAATTGCTTCAACTTTGGATGGGTCAACATGAATTCCTTCGTTGCTAACTACATGACCTAAAAATTGTACTTCTCTAATCCAAAACTCACATTTGGAGAATTTAGCCTACAACTTTTCTTTTCTTAGTAGTTCTAAGATTATTTGCAGGTGTTGACCATGTTCTTCCTTGGTTCGTGAATATATCAATATATCATCGATAAATGCGATCACGAATTTATCCAAGTATGGTTTGCAAACACGATTCATGAGATCCATAAACACTACTGGGGCGTTGGTTGATCCAAAAGACATAACTAAGAACTCATAATGACCATAACGAGTTCTAAATGCTATTTTTAGATTGTCGTCTTCTTATACTCTGAGTTGATGATATCCTGATCTAAGATCTATCTTTGAGTAGTAGCTAGATCCTCGCAGTTGATCGAATAAATCATCAATTCTGGGAAGCGGATAACGATTCTTGATCGTTAGCTTGTTCCACTCCCGATAATCAATACACATTCAAAAGGATCCATCCTTCTTTTTGACAAACAAGATTGGTGCTCCCCAAGGTGAAAAACTTGGTCGGATAAAGCCTTTGTCAGGAAGTTCTTGTAGTTGGCTAGATAATTCTTGCATTTCGGATGGAGCCAACCGATAAGGAGATTTCGCTAATGGTGTTGCTCCTGGAATTAAGTCGATTCGAAACTCAACTTGTCGGACGGGAGGTATTCCAGGTAGATCTTCAGGAAATACGTTAGGGAAATCACATACTTGAAATATGTCCTTGATTTCTTTTATCTTTCTTCTCTTATCTACAATGTGGGCTAAGAATGCGCTACATTTCTTATGTAGATATTTCTATGTCTTTGTACAAGAAATGACTTTGAGGTTCTTCCCAGATTTATCACAATAGATAATCAGGGCTTCGTCGTTTGGTAAGGGTAGTCGTGTGGCTTTCTCATGACATAAAAATTTGGTGCGGTGTGAAGATAACCAATCCATGCCAATTATGACATCAAAATTACCGATAGGCATTGGCATGAGGTTGACATGAAAAAGGTAGTTATTAAGAGTTAACAGACAATTTTCTAGGATTTCATATGTTTTCTCAAATTGTCCGTTAGCGATTTCTACTTCGTAGATTTCTTTTAATTTGCTAGACTTATGATTTAACAATTTTCTAAATGTCGGAGTTATAAAACTTCAATCTGCTCCAGAGTCGAAGAGTATGCTAGCATATAAATTATCCATGAGAAACGTACCAGATACAACTGAAGGATCTTGGATAGCCTCTCCGCTTCCGATCACAAACGCTCTGCCACGTCCTATGCCTCCTTGAATCCTTAACTTTGGAAATCCTTTCTTGATATGTCCAACTTCTACACACTCATAACACTTTCTTTCTTCACCACGACCTGTTCTAGTATTTGTTTGTTGATTGACTGTTGCAGGTGTTGTGCTCCTGCAGTAACTAGCAGTGTGCCATTTCTTTTTGCATTTCGTTCAAACAAAACAGTCACCTGGGTGATGACGGTTGCAATGGTTGCTCCATGCAGACTTTGGTTGAGTAGGTACTGCTGTTGTGGCTGCGTAGTTGGTTGCCACTTCTTGTCTTTTCTCAGATGATTGTTTTTGTTCTAGCTTTGGGAGACTCATCCTTTGAGACC